CAGCTCCAAAACTTGCACTCTTAACTCCCGCGTTATATCTGCCGCCCTTTTAGTGAAGTCGTCTATACTAAAGCTAAAAGTCAGAAAAGCTTGTGTAATAAAGAGCCTTGAATGATAACCTACAGAGTTTGTGCTGAATTCAAAAAGAGTCTTTAAAGGATTTAAGACGAAAATAAGAGTGGTATTTTTAAAACTTTAGTTTTATAACATATTGTGGGAGGAAGAAAATCAAGACATCGATGTAAACGGTCAGGGAGCGTGCAAAGACTTTACTCTCCATTCTTTGCATGCATTAGATCAGCCCAGATAATTTTGAAATTTAGTTATCAGAAATGAAATTAATACCTCTTCATATGGGTCAGGTGCAGTGGTTCACACCTGTAAATCCCAGTACATTGTGAGGCTGAGGCAAGTGGATCGCTTGATCTCAGGAGTTCCAGACCAGCTTGGTCAACATGGCAAAACCCCATCTCTACAAAAAAATACAGAAAATAGCTGTGTGTGGTGGTGCAGGCCTGTAGTCCCAGCTACTCAGGAGGCTGAGGTGGAAGAATCACCTGAGTCCTTTAGGCCGAGGCTACAGTGAGCCAAGATTGGTATCACTGCACTCCAGCTTGGGTGACAGAGTGACACCGTCTCAAAACAGACAAACAAACAAACAAGACTTCATATGGAAACAGGTTGGGTCTCTATCAAACAACATGTTTTAACAATATTTAGCTTTTGATATCAAGTCAACCAAAGATTAAATCATTTTCATTTAATTGCAGAGAGTATACATTTATTGTTTTATCAAGTATAATGTACCATCTTCAATGCTGATTTTTCATATGTTAATCTATTTGTAAGGGAATACATCTTTTCTATCTATTTTGGCTGAGCTTCATATCATAAATGAATGAAAGGACACTCTATTTTCTACCATCAAAATCCTTTTTGCACATTTTATGTTTTAAGAAAAGTAGAAATTATATAGCTAAGTAGCCATCTTTCCTCTATAAAGACTTCTTATATAGGACTACTTCTTCTATAAAGGACTTCTTCTATAAAGGACTACTGTGTTCTCATAGTTTTTCAGGGTATAATTTTCAGGAAGCCAAAACATGAATTTAATACAAATGTGTAGTGAGCAAGTGACAAAAATTGATTTAACTCATTAGTAAGGGATCTAGCAGAATTATAAAGCTGGTCTAAAAGAGAATAAGAAAGACTGTTATGGACAGAAAGTGAATTAAAGACAGAATGCTGAGAGAAAATTAAATAGATGTAAAGTTGGTTGATGTTCTACAATGCAATAAAACTACATTTGTGTTATCTTTTCTACTAGATAAAATAATTTATATTGCTTCTGAACAACAAAATTTACTCTTTTGTTAAAAACCAGTTTAATATCTAATCTCATGGAGTCTCAGCCAAATAAAAAAAGAGTAAGTAAAAGAAACAATGCATTCTTCCAGAGAATTAAATAATCTTTGAAAGAGTCTATTAGACAATGCTCCATTATATGCTTGAGATAACATGCAGTCATCCATTTGTTTTAGTTTCAAGTGTGAGATAATTTTTCCTAACCACCTGTACCCTATAATAAAAACACTACTTAGGTTAACACTATATGTCAGCAATTGGTATGCATTATTTCATTTTGTTCTCAGAATTAATATCAATGAGTATAAGATTTCTCTGAAACTTGTTATTTTTTTCCAAAAAGTTTTTATGAGAAAAACGTGAATGAGAGTTTGACTATTCTGAAGGTTATTGCTCTACATAGCCAAATTCATTTCTGAAAAATGATATGCCAATTTTTAATATTTATGCAGAGTAGTATACTATGCTCATCGTATTGACACTATTGAGCATCATTATTTTTAAAAGTAGTCAGTTTGGCAGAGGTAAAACAAAATCTTGTTTCAATTTAACTAGACAGTATCTAGTTACTAGTGAAAGTTACTTTAAAAACATTATTAGTACATATATGGTGTATATATTTATGGGATACATGAGATATTTTGATACAAGCATACAGTGTGTAATAATCACCTCAGGGTACATGAGGTTTTCATTCCTTCAAGCATTCATTATTTGTGTTCCAAACATTTTAAATTGTACTCCTAAATTGAAGTTATTCGTTATTCTAAAATATACAACAAATTGTTGCAGATTGTAGTCAATTTTTAAAAACATGTTTTTAATTGGACATGGTGGAGCATACCTGTAGTACTAGCTACTTAGATGGGAGAAACAAAAGCATTGCCTGAGTTCAGGAGTTTGAGACTGTAGTGTGCAACAATTGTGTCTGTGAATAGCCTGGGCCACACAGGAAGATCCTAACTCAAAAAAATAAAAAAATAAAAAATTTTAAAAAATAATGATTTTTGTTACTTTCTTTTAGGATTGTTTTTGCTCAATTTTCTATTAAGGCATCAGTATTCATTTTTTTTATTCCTTTCCGCTTCTACTATCTGAGAGACATTAACCCTTTGTGCTTTTTCTTTCAGCTTTATTAAGGTATAATTGGCAAATAAAAATGGTATATATTTAGTGAGTACAAACCCTTTTATGTGTAATTCTTATACATCAAAGAGCTTGCCATGAAAAGTATTAATAGGGCATTTTATGTGAGGATTAATGACACCTAAATGAAACTCATTTGTGATAACCTGAAACTCAACGTAAGATTATGCTAGTAAAGACACAGTATTGTTTCCTCATTCCCCATTAAAACTCTTTTATTGAAAAATATAATACACATATGTATATAAAATGTTAATAAGTGTGCAGAATCGAAACTAAAGGAAGTGTAGGGATATTTGTAAATGTGAAATTATTTGCAAATTGACTGCAACAATTATATTAATAAGTAAACAGTATAGCTTTAAGGGATTACATTTTGAACAACTTAGAATAACTAGGTAAACCCTTTCCATAATAGTTTAAATCATTTCTTGTGAGGTGCTAGTAAAACCAAATCAAGAACCAAAACAGAAATACACCCAAGATTAGGTAACTTATGTTGCATCGGAAGTGCATATATACACAGTATGTAATATATATAAAACACACACACACATATACACACTTATGTTTACAAAGATGAAGATGTGCATACAGATGTTTATACATGTATATATGTGTACACTTATACATATATATACACAGAACATGTCATTACTACTTTTGGTGCCTTGATTTTCTCTGGAATCACTGACCCTATCAAATTAAGATGGGTGTGTATGTTTTAATTATCCTAACTCCCAGGGATAGAATGTAACTAAACGGTAACATTAGCTATTGTAATGTTTTTCACTTCATAATGATTTGGATGTATATATGGATATAATATATGATTTATTATATAAAATTATAAATATAAATAATAAAATAGTATATGACACGTGTATATGTACATACAGAAACATGAAATATAGATGAATAGAGAAAGATTATGATAATAAATAATGAAAAACATGATTTATCTGAGCACTGCATAAATCAGTGTGTATCAAAATCATGGAAGCCCTTGAGATCACTTTTTTTGTTTGGTGGTGTTGGGGGCAGGGGATAAATTCCCAAAGTAAGCATGAGCCATTCATATTCTTTACCAAAGCTCAGAAGGAACTCACAAGTTTGTTGACTTTCTTTTCCCTCCCTCCCTCATCATCTGCCTGGGAAGCCTGGGAAGGCTGGTGGGGTGGAGGGTGGTGGGGTGGTTTCAGGGGGCCAAAATCCCAGTAAAACACGTCCATGAGAAAGCTCTCCTGGCCCTTGCCCCTAAACAGCGCTTTCCCTAAGTGCCAGGTACCTGGTGGGAGCTGCGCTGGGCTTCCTGCAGGCCCCTGAACTCTCCCAGCTCCACTCGCCTGCCCTGCTTCTAGGTTGGAGCTCTCCTGGGACCAGGTGAAGCCCTCCCTCCCTTAGACTTCCCTTCACGTTTCGAGTTCCAGCAGATTCCCTAGGTGTGTCTTCTTTACTCGTTGAGAGCAGGAGCAGTTTGCTTTTCCTCTGAAATTCCCAGGGCTCTAAAGGCCCAGTGAATGTCAAAGATGGGGTAGGGGTCAACATAAACTCTGTGGAAGTCAAACACTAAACTCCAGCTGGTTCCTAGACCAAACTGTGATGCATCAGCCCTGGAGCTCTGTGGTCCTTCAGGTCCTTCAACTTTTGCAAGATGAACTTGAGAGTGTGGAGGAGGGACCTGGAAGAAGCTCTTAAGACCGTGAGTTCAGGGACTTAAAATCCTAAATTGTCTGTGAGTCCACCTTGATCTGGTTTCCAGCTTCGCTCTCCCTAATATATTTTAAAGTCCTGACACCCTGGCAGGGGATTTGGGGGTCGAATGCCTTGGCAAACAGAGTTTTCGGCTCTCCCTCATGCTTGCCATGATGAGATGACTTACCACAGACTGGAGCTGAGCAGGAGTTGGGGGATATTTACTTTTAATCCGTTTATGTGCTTTCAGTACACCTTGTGTGGTTGGGTGTGGAAAGCGGGGGATGGGGGTTTCCAGATCGAGTGAAATTCCCATTCCATTGGTATTACCATGCCTGTGGGGTTGGCAGTTCTTTAAGTTTAGCTAGTCTGCAAATAACTACAGAACACAATAGAGTCCTCCTCCCTTCCTGTCTCTCTCTTTCTTTCTTTCTTTTTTTTTCTTTTCCTGCTTCCAAACGCCTTCTTCGAGGCTGAAGCCGGGCAGGTCTCCAAAGGTGCAGCAGCCACAACAATCCCGCAGTTCAAAGTTAAGCAGCAGTTGCACAACTTCCAGCAACTTTCTCAGCCGGCTACTAATGAGCTGAAAGCCAGGAACATTCGAGGAGAAGAGAAAGCTTCCAGCCCTCCTCCCTTTACCCTGGAAATCCAGACACCCCCACCCCTACCCCCAGATCGCTTTAACATAACTTCTTTATTCATTTGCCCGACAGACCATGGCTCCCTTTGGAAGAAACTTGCTAAAGACTCGGCATAAAAACAGGTAAAGTAAAGCGTGTGTGTGTGTGTGTGTGTGTGTGTGTGTGTATGTGTCTGGTATGTGTAGTCTGGACCCTACCTGTGAAAGCCTGTGTTTTGTGGTTGTTAGATTCTGATAAAAAAGGCTTTGTGGGGACAAAGCCCTAGCCTAAAGAGTTAGGCTAGTATGAATACCTAGATGGTAAGGATATTCCCCCAGTATTGATGATGGCATTTACCAGCTCAAGAATCGCAGACGAGAAAGAGTGAATATTTTTTACTCCTTTCTCCCCTTTTGACCAGTCCTGGCTCCACAATTAGCAAGATAAACAGTTTCTCTTTTTGTTGCCCTGGACTTTTGAGGGTAGTAGAATAAAAAGTGTCGTTTTGTTTCAAACAGAGCTTTAGAATATTATAGAAAGAGTTAAAACTTTGATAAAGAGATAACTAAAATTTATAGTCACTAAATAGGATGAGAAATAAATCTGCTGATATAATTCAGAAACAATGCTTTGGCTCCCCTGAGAGCGGGGCATTCCTGAAAGCTGGAATGTTCCCAAAGTGAAAATACTCTGGAGAGAAACTCTGTGTGAACTGATTCTTTCAAAAATCTTTGAGAATTTTAGGAAGTTATAAGCACTAAAGAAGGATTCAAGCAGCTATCCTCTCTAATCCTTATTATTACTATTTTACTTTGATTTGATTTGATATTTCAAGCTTGAAATGCCTGTAGTATAAATAAGTTACTTAAAACACACATACACACACATATTTTCCTAGGGACAGTATGTCTATTTTAGTCTTGTTAAATATTTTATTTACACATCAAATGTTACGTTTTCATGCCAAAAACTTGAGAATAAATTTAGACATGGGCTATATTTTTTAAGATATATTTATTTTGGCATAGGGACTTGTCCACCACTTTTCTCTCAATCATGCCTGTTTGTACTTGTCATAATTTGCTCAGTGCAGATTTAAAAGGATACAATTACATGGTAGGAAATGATATAATTATTTTAAAGTGTCTACCTGACGATATACAGTAATACAACTTTAAAGTAAATCTCCATATTTTATTTTTGTGCACACATGTCTACTTTGAAAATCCTGTTTTTAACTCATTCCAAATGTATTCATGATGTAGTTGACAAAATTTCCTTTAGAAATTAAATGGCCTTGATAAATACCGTAAAAGTTTCTAAGTAAGCTTTATTTTCTAATAATTTGACAATATTTCACAAATATGGTATTTACGATAATTACAGATAATGAAACTGTATATTAAAATAAAGTGGTTTGAGTATTTAAAATCTGTGTTTTGATGGTGACAATGTATTTTAAAATATTCTAGAATATTCCAGAAAAGCCTCCCCCAAGCCAAAAATAAAAATATTCTGGTTTCTAAATGATATTTTTGTAGTGGTATTTTTGTAGTATTATTTTGGCATTTGTTTAAATGTCATCAAAATATACAAAAATACTCTGGAAAACTTTATGGTTTCATAAATCAAGTTGTGTTTCTGGCATACTATCCCTGTAGTCAGGTCTTTCTGTTTGTTTGTTTGAGGTTTTTTTGTTTTGCTTTAGCAATTTGAGATTTCTGTCATTGGTATGCCAAATACAGGACAATAAAACTTTGCATGCGCCCCTGAGTTTCCCTCAGGGAAGTGCATTCTTCAATTTCATTACATCAGTTCTGCCACTCTACTATCTACTCTACCTATAAAACTAGCTTTCTTTCGAGGAGGTGAGTATACAAACATTTTTTAAAAGTTTTCTATGCAAAATTATGAAAAGGTGAAAATAAAGATAAAAAATAGAGAGTTTAATAGTGTTTCAAGTTTCTCAGAAAATGGAATGGCTCCCGAAGATGATGCTTTGTTATAAAGGCAAGTGTTTTGGAAAAGGTGGCAATAGTAAGGATATGCGTAAGCTTCTCTAATGAAAGTATTTCCCTCTACAGATTTGTATCTTTCAATCCTTAAGAAAGATTTAAACCACAGCAGTGGTCTAGGACACAAAAATATGGGTATTTCAAATTAAGCAGTAAATAAATTACAGAGTGTGTTGAAATAGAATTAATATTTGTTTTGGTATTTAGTAATGCTATATACGGGGTCTTTGGTTTTGTTTTTTCACCTTAGCAGAGGTGAGATCACAGGTGAAAATTACTTGCAAGATTAAGTTTGCTCATGTTGTTTACAGTTTCCATAATGATTTGAATAACCACACTCTAAAGCACAGAAACAAAATATCTTTTCTTCAATGATGAGTGATTTATCCTTTCATGGAAAATGTGATTTATGATAAGATAGTTATCTGATAAGAGTCACTATATTCTTCAAATACAGACATAAAATTTCTTGTACAATGTAAAGTAAGAATTTGGATAACAAATATATTTATATGCCTTATGATATATGACAGGCAACAATAACAAAAAACTACTTGAGTATAATTGCATCTTTATTAGCAGGAAAATATATGTACTGTTACAAGGAATATTGGAGATTAAAGATCATAAAATTTTGAGAAAGTCTGCTTACAGAATTTTTCTGCATGCTATTCTCTGCCTCTCTTTTCACTTTTGGTCACTCTTGGAGTGATACTTAATCAACCAGAATTGAACCTCATGAGATAGTACTATAAATGTTCTTATAATAAATGGATAGTTGAGAGCTTTAGAGACAAACAGGATGCAATTAAAACTTCAAAGTATGAGGCAATACAAAATTTTAGAAAATACAAACCATAAAGCTTGGAGAAGGTGGGGCCATATCTGTCTAGACACCATTGTGTTTTCATGTCCAAGACAGTGCCTGCCATGTGGTAGAACTACAATACAATTATCAATTTTGTAAATTGAATTGTAATTTGTACTCAAACTATAAACATACTAATTATTGTATTCTCTATTCATCATGTGACACTAGCTGGTATTACATAAAAGTGAATACTTTTTAAAGAGTTAGTTGATATTTAATGTAATTCAAAACCTAAAGAGATAGACACATAGTTATATGGATTTTGAAACCAAGCAAATTTGATCGCACTAGATAATTTTTTTCCCAAATTTAAAGATTATTTAGTTCAACAATTTAGGAAATAGTATTCAGGAAATTTGAGAATAATAGATGCCTAAATAAAAAGCCTGAAAAGTTTGTATGCCTAAATATAATTAGGCATTTCATTTCAAACTTTCATATAAAGACATGGAACCAATCTAAACTTTTTTCTGTTTACAATGAGAGTTAATCTTTTAAATTTTTCTAAGTGTGATAATGTTTAATTGGAAGACTTCGATTTTAAGAGAATCTGTTGATTTTAGGAGTTGAATTATTACTTTGATTCCAGAAAAACAGAATATTCTATGACTGAATTCCAAAGATTCTTGATGCATATCTTCTTCATCAGACTTTTGTTCAACATGGTTGAATACCAATGTTTGAGAGATACAAAGAATACAAATGTTTGAGAGTATAGATATATTTCAACAAGCTGTTCAAGTTCTGACAGTGTTTTCTAAAAGTTGCTAGGGAGCCAATGTTCTTCACATAAAAACTAAAGAAGTAAATAATGAAACACCAATCCATTTGAGATTCATGTGGACATTCAGCAATTGGATTTAGATTATTAACCTATTTACCATTCACATAGATTCCATTTGTGAATGTGATTGTCTTTATATTAGATTATGTTTTCAAGGTAAAGATTGTTTTAATGTTAATATGTCTAAGTAACAATCAGAAATTTTGTAAAAGTTCAGATAACTAGAATGTTATTATAAAGCTTTTTCGGAACACTTGGTTGTAAGGTATGATTTTGTAGTGTTTTAATTAATAAAGTTTGGAGACAGAGAATTGGTTGATACTTTCACCAAACCTTGCTGGAAGTACAACATTGCCATAATGAAATAGTGTCTAATGTATTTTTCAAAATAGGAAATGAGAATAGTTTGCATAGGTGATTTGTAAGATAAAAAATAATGAATATAAAAATATTGAATCCAGTTCAAAGAGCATTTAAAATTATTTTGAAGTACTATTTAGTTTTGTCTTCATTTTCCCTTAATTTCATCTCGAGGGTTTCCTTCGACTTTCACAAAACGTACCGATATATGAATATCCACTACAGGCTATGGCAGACATACTTGTAATATCAACCTAAAATTAAAAGACTCCAAAAAATTTGCTTGTCCTGAATTTATGAGCATAAAATATTATAACTTTATTGTTTTATAATTGATACATAAAATTTGCATTCCAGGTTGCTTTTTAATCAATTAGAACATATTTAGCCAATAGTTCTTAAAGCCAAGTACATTATATTGTCACTAGAAGTAAATCATTCAACGATTGCTTCATCAGAAGAAAGAATTAAGTTTTGTGGTTAGGGTAAAAGTTGCTGACAAGAAGGATGTCTTCTCTCTGTAATTAGAAGTATGGTAATTTGTGTATTCTGCAGAGTGGGAAATTATTATGCACTATTTTGTTTATCCTTCCAATCAAGATTCAAAATGTTCCCAAAACTGTATGGAGAAGTGCCAGATATTTGAGTATATAAATCTTCACAGTTCTCAGGAGTTCCTGAAAGTGATTTCCCCTGATTATATCTGGTAACTCAAGTAGTTATTAGTTGGCAGTGGATAGCTCATTAGGAACAATGACTGGAATGCTTTATCCCTAGCAAAAATATCCTGAGAGCTGTGGCAAGGGTGAAATTGAGCTCTAGGTTAAACCTGAATTGTTTCTGAAGAAAAACTAAGCCAGCTTTGTGTTACATAAAATATATTATATACAGTATCAGTGCCTGGACACATGTCAAGGTGAGAAGTACTTAAATCAATTTTTGGAGAAAAGTTTTAAAAAGTTTGAAGCTGTCTAATAATTTAATTTAGATAATGTATTTATTGGCTGTATAAAACTCAGAAAATTTTGATGTTATGTTACTGTCATGTAGTTCCAGGAGATCTGATGATAACCCTAAATAATTCACAAATGTGTGGCTCTATTCTTTTGATATTAGTTCCGAAAATGAAATAAGGTTGAAGTAGGGGTATGTGTTTAACTCTTGCAGGTGTATATGAATACCAGTCCTTGACAAGGAATCTCTTTGCTTCTTACATATCAGCTTTCTAAAATGAAACCTCATGATATCTGCACCAGGTATATGTCAGAGGAAAAAGTTCAGCTTACTTCTGCATTATAATGACTTTAATATATGGTTGCTTAATTAATTTCTTGACATCCAAACACAACATTGGCAAAACACAACACTGATTTCTTAAGTGCTAATTCTTTACTATTTTTAATAGATTGTGATTCCATTCTCGTGGAGTCTGATGTAGTACTACACCTTCTAGAGAAAGTTTGTGTATTTGTTGGATAAAATTGAAAGCAATTACTAATATAAATGATCATACAAGTACAAAGTATTTATGAGAATGGAGTAGAGCCTTGCGAAGATGTGTAGCACTGGCAGTAATAAGATATTTCAAGTATAAGAATGAGCAATGTAAATTAAATCTGCTGAAAAACAAGGAAAATTATGCTCAGAAGTTTGTATCTTCAGACTAGAATGCACCCTGCTTTTATAAATAAAGTGATTTAAGCATTTTGTTTAAAAAAATCATTGAGTATAGGTCCAATCAGAGCAGGGACCTTACTTGTCTTTTTCCGTCCTAGATAGCCAGCGAATAAGTGCTCAAAAAATATTTGTTGATTGAATAAAGACATTCAACATATACTCTCAAAATACAGCTGGTCAGTAGTGTATTTATGTTAAGTGGATACGTGGGTACCTTAAAACATGAATCCATTAATGCAAGGTTGACCTCTCATCTTCCCTGTTCCTAGGCTCAGCTCCTGGCTTTCAAGTGGTAAAGGGCCATATCTAATAAATCGATGATATGAGACTTTATCAGACGTTTGGTAGAAAAACAAATCAAGGAGCATGGTCATTCGTTCTCTAGGGATGCTCTTACCTCCCCTCATCCTCCTAGAGCACAGCCAGATAGGCATATGAGTGAAGTTGGGTGGGTGAGACTGAATGGCTTCTAAAGACCTCACTGTTGAATATGGAGCATATCTCCTTCTTATTTGAGAGAATTTAGCAACACAGTTATAGGAATGTTCTGAGTGGCTACCTTTTAATTTTATTTCTTTAGGACGGGTAAGTTGTGTTTAATACTGTACCAGGCATGCAAAGACACAACCCCATTCCTAAGAGATTAAACTCCTAATTGAGAAAACAGCATTATAGTAAAATAGCTCATGCAAGAACTTTTTAAAATCACTCTTCCATGGAAAACTATCTTTGACAGGGTAGACAAAATCATAATCTTTGTAATACAATTAAGAAAATTAGAGTATAATCTCTTGGAGTTGATGAAGGCTATTCCTCTGTAGAGTAGGTGCTCAATAAATGTTGATTAACTCTATGTAGAAATATTTAAGAGAGGAGTAAATGGAGGTAAAGGAAAATAAAATGAGCATCATCGTAATTAGCTAGCATTTATTAAACTCCCACAGGCAACAGGCTTGAACAAGAGAAGGGAATGCAATAGATTTAGAAAAATATGTAGGAGGGGGCTGAATCACACAGGGCTAAGATTGACTCACATATGATAATTAAAAGAGAAGAATCCAAGAAGTGGGCAATAATATGGTCAGTTTGGCAATAATCAATAATCTTAGTTGAGTTGGTGGAAAACAATATTTTACAATTACAATAAAAGCGTTTAAAATA